GAGAAACAGAGAACTGATTAACATAGTAGGAAGGAATTCATTAATCCAAGATTCAAAATTCAAGATCCAACACAGGAGGATACCAGTGAAATCATCAGAGTGCAGATCTATAAACCAGGAAGCAACAACACATCACAGGAAAAAGTACAGCTGTGGGGCTCATTTCCACACAATACTCTGGAGAGCATACATAAGGAATGAAACAAATTCACAAAGAATAGGTCCATTTGGTAGATACCTTTAAGTCCCTGAACTACTGACAATTCAATTATTCACCTGCTATGCTTCTCACGTTCTTCCCAATTACTCTGACTCCTCCAAGACATAAAGGCACAGACTACTTGGCTACTGACAGTCACTGCCTTCCCATCTAAATCCACAGTAACTGATGGAGCCCACTGCAGGAAAACTGGGGAAAGCCTTGAAAGGTTCAAGCTTTCACAATGACCTCAGGAAACTGGCAGCAAACAGCCAAAGAACGACACAAGTACTAGTTTATAAAGAGACAGATTGAGGGAAAGTCTTTATTTCCTCTCAAGAACGACTCAGGACCCCAAGGAACAGACAAATTCCATCTTCTAAACTATGTGCTCCACTACCATTTCACAACTGGGAGCTCTGTTTTTCCACAAGGCATACCAGATTCCCAAGTTCCTTGTTTACAGGCCTCCCCTGAGAGAGAGCTCTCTCCCCTTGCTGTCGGGCCTGATAAAATGCAGGGAGATCCTTTTTTCACACTCTACAGAATTCAAGGCTACAAGGGAAATATCTACCCCTAGAGCCCAGGGCACAGAAATACTGTACCCTGGCTGAGACCAAGTGATAGCACATATACTCTCCTCAGCTTAAAACCAGAAACATGTCACTGCAACAGAAGTCTGGGAAGTCACTTAGCTGATTATTTTCAGTAGTTCTCACTATGGCTTTTGACAACCTGAGAAAGAGAAACCCTCCACAACAGAAATGTCCTAATCTAAACAACAGACCAAAGGCAAAAGTGGCAGCTCTTCTGAAAAACATCTAAACCTTAAAATAAATCAGTTGTGCCCTACAAGCCAAAAGGCAAAGCTGGACACACCTCCAAACAACAGACATGGGACCAGTTCTCTGAGTGGGGATGACTACAGTCAGGGCTCTACAAATCCTGGATCCACTCTTCAAACTGAAAACTGCACGAGACGTACAGATAAGAAACTTCTCCAAACAGTAAAAACCTTCAGAAACAAGCCCGGATTAAATTCTCTGCCCTGCCAGGACACCTCTCCTGTAGCATACCTTCTTAGCAAGATGAGTGAGGGGCTTAGTTCCAGCCAGGTCTGTGAACCAGTTGTTTATGGCACTCTGAGAACGTGCTGTCACCAGCCAAAAGTTATCCTTCTGGTTCACCTGGGGTTTCCGCCTCCCCGTGTCAGGCAGCGTGTTGCACCGCAGCTTTTCCGCAATAATACTGCTGAAATTCGAGCTGATCTGGAAGAGAAAAACAGGATTAATTACATTTCACGATTCAAAGATCCGTTTTCTGCGTGCTTAAAGTCTTATTTATCACTCCTACCAGAAGTATCGACTTTTGAAACACAAGAAACCTGCCAGTGATTTCCTTTGTTATGCTTGCAGAGATGAATGCTTCCAGACAACTCATACAATAACCAAGCAGGGACTGGAGATGGACACAGCACTTCATAAATACCTATCAAACCAGACAGAAGGCGCTCCTCAGACAGAAGTCAGCCAAGAAAAACAAATATCCTGTGCTCATTGATTGCCTTCCAACCCAGGTCATTACTAGCCCTTCTGTTGGGGAGGCCAGGAAGTCAAGATCTTGATTTCAGAGACTGGAAAAATGGAGCTGAAGCCCGTTATGTAACTCCTCTGTTTAAATTGCCAGATGTTTCAAGAAATCTTACTTCTCTTTTACCGTGAACATGATGTAACCAAACCAGTAAGAACTCTCCCTCTCCTGGGATCGTAGCCTTCAGCTTTAACTGCAGAGTATGGGGAGTCCCACATGCTGATTTTACTGAGACTGCAGATACAGACCTGCCCCTAAGATGTATAGAGCAAGGCAGGAACTCTCTTGAAGAGGTGGGACACAGTTCTAAAAGAATGCAGAACTTGGACTGCAAAGAAAGAGAGGGTCAGGTCCTAAAACCACTCATTCTAAAGGAAAAGGTCTCCTGGCTCTCGGCACAGAGAAGGAAATAAGACCCAGGGCTGTCCAGGATCCCGCAGCCCACCCTGTTAAAGGCCCCGTCTCACCTTCGCCGGGTTGAAATTGACATTTTTGGCACTGCCGTGCTCGTCCCCGGAGACCGCCGGCTGGTTATTGAAGCCTTGCTTGACATTCAGCGCAGTCAGCTCATCCTGCGGGGGGGAAGGACGGTCAGCGGGGCCCGGCGCGGCCCCTCCGCGAACACCGCCGCCGCCCCCGGCCCCAGAGCGGGGGCCGAGCGAGGCCAGGCTCGGCTGCTCCCCCGGCCCCCGCCGCCCTGCCCCGCCCCTCCCAGGGCAGTGCGGGACACCGGGACAGCGGCCCCCCCGGCCCGCCCAGCGCCCCCCAACCCGCGGGCCCGGCGGGACGGGCCCCGCTCCCGACCCCCGCCCTGACGCCCCGCCGCCTCCCCAGGTCCGGTCGCGGCGCGGCGGTCCCGCACCCCGCGTCCCCCCCAAGGCTCCCTCACCTCCTTCTGCTTGGGGTCCTGCGGGTACACGTCGGGCGGGCCGAGGCGCGGGCGCTTGAGCGGGCGGTGCTCGTAGCTGAGGACGCCGAAGGCCGCCATGGCCGGGCGGGGGCGGCCGGGCCACAACAAGGGCCGCCAGGGCCGCCCGCGCCTGCGCGCTGCGCGCTGCGCCGGGCACGGCGGGGACCGGCGGCACGGCCCGAGAGCCGCCGAAGCCGCGCCGAGGGAGGACGGGCAGTCCCGAGCGCGGACGGAGAGGCACGAGTGCTGCCGGAGAGATCCGAGTGACGCCGGAGAGACCCGAAGCTGGGCCGAGAAAGGACGGACAGTCCCGAGTGTCACCGGAGAGACCCGAGTGTCGCCGAGGCCGGGCCGAGTAAAGACGAAAAGGTCCGAGCGTAGACGGAGAGACCCGAAGCGAGGCCGAGAGAGGACGGAGATTCCCGAGCGCTGCCGGAGAGGCCCGAAGCCGGACTCGGGGTGGACGGAGAGTCCCGAGCGGCGCCGGAAAGTGCCGAAGAGGGACGTGGCGGCCCGAAGGGCCTGTGACCAGCAGCAGCCCCACACCTTCCACGGCGGCCCCGACACCAGGGCAACCCCTGGCCACCGACACCCCCCCTGCGGCCACCGCTGCATCGTCCCCGGCCCTCCGGACACCGGCGGTGCTGTCACACACACACAGCCCCGCCGGGACTGCCCCGGTGCTGCCCGGTTCCCAGTGAGCCGGCCAGGCTGCAGATTGGGGTCCCCACAGCTGTCCAGCTCCTGGGGACAGCCCCGTGGGGTGATCCCTGCGGCAAGGCGGAGCGAGCCACGGGGACATGGCAGGAGGAAACGGGAATCCCAGAGGGATGGGCCGTCTGGTTCCAGTGGGATCTGTGGGATCCCACTGGGGTGAGCCATGGGGTCCCAAAGGGATGAGCTGTGGGGTTGCAGTGGGATCTGTGGGATCCCACTGGAGTGAGCCATGGGCTCCCAGAGGGATGAACTGTGGGGTCCCACTGGGGTGAGCCGTGGGTTCCCAGTGGTATGAGCCGTGGGGTCCAAGTGGGATGAGCCATGGGCCCCCCCTGGGGTGAGCTGTGGTCCCCATCAGAGTGGCCCTGGAGCAGCACATGGGATGGGCCCCCCGGTGCAGGCGGTGTGTGGGGCAGGAAGCGAGGGCGGAAGCCACAGCCCTGCACGGGGCTGTTCGCATGCGCCCCATGGCCAGCCCCACCCCACCATGGCAGCTCTTGCCACCTTCCTGGTGCCTGTCCTCCTCCTCCTCCTCTGTGGGCCGGACCCCTGCCCTGCTGCTGCCCACAGCCAGCCAGGTAAGGGGGCACATGGGCCCATGGGGACGTGGGAGGCCGCAGATCCCCACTGTGGGTGGGGATGGAGCCAGTGATGGGGCGAGGATGGCAGGATGTGGGGCTGTGTGGGCTGGCACGCTGTTGGGGGTGCACCAGAGACCCTGCGACCCCCCCAGTGTGCCCCAGGACCCCCGGCACCTACATGGCCCCTTGCAAAGGGGCTGCCAGGAGAGACAGGCTGTGCCAGGGAGCCCCGTTGGGTGTCCTTGCTCCCACCCCAGCGATGGAGCATTGCTGACACCACCAGCCCCATGGCTACTAGTCCTGCAGCGCTCCTGGCCTCATTACTCTACTGGCAGGCCCATGCTATTCATGGGTGCTGGCCAGGCTGGCGGCCTGGTGGATCTGCCCTTTCCATCCTGGTCATGTCAGCAGTGCTGTGCACAGGAAGGAGATGCACAGGAAGGGAGACAGGAGCTTCTCTTTCCACCTGGCACCCTCATCCCAGCCATTGTTTTCTGGGAAAAAAATCCACCTCCTGGCTGGCTGTCAGCAAAACAACAGCTTTCTGTGGAAACACAGCCCCTCTGTATCCCTGGACCTCCTGGGCTGTTGGGAAGGTGTCCTTCATCTTCACGTGTGGAAACAGCCAGAGTGCAGCCTGTTTGCTGCATTGTGTTACACTACAGCTCAGAAAAGCCTGGCTCTGGCTTTTTCCTGCTCCTGCAGTTCTGGCTGATGAGTTTGGACCTTGGGTGGGACCAGATGTCCCATTGTCTGGTTTTTAGGGGGAAAACCTCTCATTTTCTGTGAGTCTACAGGACAGCTCTCAGCTGCCAGCAGCTGGGCTGGCACTTGAGAGAGCTCTGTGAGGTGTCTCAGTCCATCAGAGCAGCTCATCCCACAGCGAGATGTGCCTCTGAGCACCAGAGCAGACTGTGGTGTCATAACTGATGGGACCAGCACTGCTGCTGTGGCCCTGCAGCCTCCTGCCAGCCCAGGATGTGGCTATGTGGGTAAGAACCAGGCCTGGCACAGTGCAGCAGAAGGAGGGGGCAGAGGAGCCAGCATGAGTTTCCTGCAGAGATGGAGCCTCAGGGGCTCAGCCTGTGGTGGAGGGGCTGTGGTGGGAAGCAGCCCAGCACAGCCTTGATCGCCCAGACACAGAGACACATGAGCACCTGCAAGCACCCAAAAGGGTAACAGTGAGATGAATTTAGCCAGGATGGAGACACCAGGCACAAATACTGAAAAAAACCCCCTGATTTTCTCATGGGACAAACAAAATGGGTTGGCAGAGAGGGATTTGTATCCTGCCCCACACCGAGGAGCTGCAAACAGCAGCTGTGGGGTGACTAAGGGGAGTAGATGGAGGACTCAGGGTGAAACACCACATCCACAGCATGAAAAGCCAACAACACAGATGTGGGAGAGACAGCAGTCCTTTAGAGGAAGATGTGGGGCTGCTGGCAGCCCAGGCATCACCAACACAGCTATGCCAGAAAGAGATGGGCTTGTTTGGCTCAGATGGAGAGAGGCTCATAGGGATATGCAGGGACCTTGGCATGTGCCGTGTCTCCCTGGTGCACCCCTGGGCCCTGGCACAGCCTCCCACCACCACGATGCCCAGCAGTGTCTGTCATTTGCAGAGGTGGAGTGTGTCATCTTCAACGAGAAGTACATGAACTGCACGTGGGGAAGCAGAGAGACACTCAAGGCCAACTACTCCCTCTACTACTGGTAGGTGTCCCTGCTCCACAGCCTGGTGTCCAGTGGTGGGTCCCCGTGCAGGGGGGCTACTGCCAGCATCGCTGGTCCCATCAGGCTGCTCCTCCTCCCCAAGCCCAGGGTGGGGCAGGCTCTGTCTCCAGGGCAAGCAGGATGGGATGTGCTGAGGAGAGGGGTCCCCAGGAGGGCTGGGGCATGTGAGGCCTTGGGGAGCCCCGGTAACTCCCCGTGGCACAGGTACAGGAACACATCCAACAAGGTGGAGTGCAAGCATTACCTGCAGGACCAGGACATCAGAGTCGGCTGCCACTTCAAACAGAACGAGATCATCCAGTTCCAGCCTTTCCACGTCCTTCTCAAAGGCAGCATGGGCGGCAGCACCCTGGAGATCAGCAAGCGCATGGAGCTGCAGGACCTGGGTACAGATTGGTCCCACAGGGCTGACCCATCAGGTCCCAGCTGGCAGCAGGGCTATGGGGACATGGGGCCAGCACTCACCAGGCATTCACCTGCAGTGAAACCAGACGCGCCCGTCAACCTGACCATCCACAACATGAGCAACAACCAGCTGCAGCTGACCTGGGCCACCACATACCCCAAAGCCAAGTGCCTGGAGCATGCCGTGAAGTACAAGAGCAACAAGGACACCGACTGGATGGTGAGAGCCCCTGGGCACAGCACCCTTGTGGCTGTGCCTAGGGAGGAGCTGTGCACCAGCCTCCATGGCAGTCCCAGCCCACAGCCATGGCTCATGTCTCTGCAGGAGATCTCGGTGAATGGAGATGTCTTCTCCTTACCCAGCGTGGACTACAAGAAGTTCTACACCTTCTATGTGCGCAGCAAGGTCAACAAATACTGCGGCAGGACCCAGCTCTGGAGCGAGTGGAGCGTTCCCGTGGTCTGGGGCAGCAGCTCCACCAGCAAGGGTAGGTCCTGGGGGCTGTAGTGGGATGGGATGGACTGGAGAATGGCAGGGGTCAGCAGGTGAGGGATGGCCAAGCAAGTAGAGAGCTGGCCTGAGGTGGCAGCTGTAGGGGCAAGACCCATCCGGGCACTTGGAGTGCAGGCAGCAGCATCAGCCCCTGCTGCTTTGTACTTCTGGAAGCCAAACACACCCCAGCAGTGGGACCTGCTGACTTTTGCCAGGGGTTTCTTAGCACTGGAGGGCTGCCCTGGCACTGCTGGGCCGGGACAGGGTCACCAACCAGTTGTGGTGGTAGCATGGCAGGGCTTGGAGACGGGCCCCTTCTCCATCCTCTGCTCCCAGAACAATGCCATGGCCACCCACTGCTGTGGTGATGTACTGTCTGGGCATCAGTGTCACCTTGGTTCTTTCCAGGCACAGTCCACTGGTTCTGGATCCACACGGTCTTGATCCCCATTGCCTCCTGCCTGATCTTGCTGGGCCTTGTCATCCTGCTGGTGCGCATGGAAAGGTGAGTGTGGGGAGATGATGGGGAGGCAGCAGCACTGGGGCTCTTCCGCTCTGACAAACCTCTCCCACACAGGGTATGGGTCATCCTAATGCCCCGAATTCCCAATCCCAGCAAGAATTTCGATGAGCTCTTCATCACCCACAACGGCAACTTCCAGGTAAGGCGGATGCAGACGGCCCTGCCCTGGGCTCGCCCTGCACTGCGGGGTTGGGGCTGGACTGGGTGGTGGCTCCTCTCACCCTGCTCTGCTCCCTGCAGGAATGGGCCGGAGTCCCCAAGGACGTTGTGGAGAGCTTCAAGCCCAACTACAGCGAGAACATCTGCTATGTGAGTGAGCTGCCACCCAAGGACAGCTACGAGCCCCTCTGGGAGAGCAGCAACCCCCCACCATCTGTGATGCCTTCAGCCTCACCTGCCCCCAGCGAGCACAGCCCCTACAAGAACAGCTACGGGAGAGTGTGACACACTCCTGCACCCCCCACGCTCCACAGCTTTGCTGCCAAAACCTCACTGCTCTGCAGGCCCTGCTCCCTGCTCCTGCCATGCCTCCCCCAGCTGCTCCTGGCCACAGCTGCTTCCTGCCATGGCCACACTCAGCCCCCCATGACACAGGGGCTTCACTGCACTGCAGGTGCTGGGGGAGCACAGTGTGCTGGGTGCCCTGGGGGCTGCACTGGGGACACTGGTGGTGCACTGGTGCCCACAAGCACACCCAGGGACATGTCCTGGCAAGCAGGCAGGGGCCACTGGCAAACTGATGGGGACATGGGGGATGAGGAGTGCCAGGGAGACCAAGAGTGGAAAAATAATGGAAGACACCTGAAGAGGATTGTAAACATGTTCAAGTGACTTGCAGCTGGGTGTGGAAAAACATATATACCATACTCTTAGTTGTTTAACCTTGTGTGTTTGGCAAGTAGAACTTCTGTGTTTAGATAACACAGGCCTGTAATAGACTTAGTGGCACCTTATTTAAGATGCTTGAGATTCCTGCCCTGCTATGGGAAAGATCAAATCACAGTGGTAAGCCAGGACTGCACAAATCCTTGATAAACAGGCAAAAACAGCAGGTTCAGTGATTCTCCAGCACAGGCCAAGCTCCACAGTATCTGCATCCCTGCTTGTCTGCCTCTGCCCAGGTGCTGCTTGGGGGATCCTCCAGTCCTCGAGATAATGAAAATAAATTTCCTCTTTGCCTTTCATCCGTGGTTTTGTGGTCGTTCCTGTGTCCTGCCTCTACCAGCTCAGACCGCAAGCCACCGTGTTACCCTGGGGCCCTGGGCAAGCCTGGCAGTTCCCCCAAGGCCTCGCTGCTCCTTGCCTGCTCCCCCGTTTTCCCGTGGCAATAAAGCTCTGGTCACCAGGGGCTTGTCTAGGCTTGTCACACAGGGTCTGGGGGAAGCACCAGGGGAGCCCCACCTCCTGAACACCTCTGGCCTTGCACACGTTGTGAGGCAGGAGCCAGCCCCACCATCCCAGCCCCACTGTCCCAGGCTGGCATCAATCATCATCAAGCATGCAGATGAGTCCCCTCCTGGCTGTCCCACGGTGCTCCCTGCACACCGGGTGATGTGCTGTGGCCTCCCTGTGCAGTGGGCTCAGCTCTGGGCTCTGCAGCCACTGTCAGGGCCACCTGCTGCCCTCAGCCACGGCTGCTGTGCCTGCAGGAGACCAGAGCTTTCTGGCCAACACCGGCTGCAGCGTCCTGCAGCTGCTCTTACAGAATCACAGAATCAGTCGGGTCGGAAAAGACCTCTGAGATCATCGAGTCCAACCTACGACTGACCACCACCACATCAACTAAGATCACGGCACCAAGTGCAAGTAAGACATCCAACCTTTTTTTTAAACACCTCCAGGGATGGTGACTCCACCACCTCCCTGGGCAGCTCATTTCAATGCCTGACCACCCTTTCTGTGAAGAATTTCCTCCTAATGTCCAACCTAAACCTCCCGTGGTGCAGCTTAAGACTCATGTCCAGTCGTTCTGTCGCTGGTTGCCCGGGAGAAGAGCCCGACGCCGCACCTGGTTACAACCTCCTGTCAGGGAGTTGTAGAGAGCGATGAGCTCTCCAGGCTGGCCCCCACTCAGGCTCTGCTCAGCAGCGCTGGTCCCCAGCGCCGTTCCCGATCCCAGCGCCGTTCCCGACCCCGATCCCGGCCCGCTGGGGGCGTGTCCGGCGCTGACAGCGGCCCCGCCCGGCCCCGCCCACCGGCGCGGCGGAGGCCGCCCCCTGGCGGCGGCGATTGGCGCAGGCGGGCCCGCCCCCCGTGCCCGCCGCGGAGCCGGCGCTGCCCCGGCACTGCCACCGGCACCGGCACCGGCACCGCGGGCACGGCACGGGCTCACCATGATCGTGTGTCCCCAGAGCGTGGAGCACCCCCGAGGAAGCCGATGCCAGCGGCTGCCGGGGCAGGTAGGACCCGCCCCGCCGCGCCACCGCCACCGGCAGCCCGTACCGGAGCACCGGGCTTCGCCCTGCTGGCCGCCACCGGCCCGGCACGGCTGCGGCACCGGCAGGCCGGGGCATTCCCGCTCCCCGCTGGCGGTGCGCGGGGCCGCTGGGGTGAGGCTGCGCTCTCCCGGTGCCGCGGCCGGCGGGTCGGTGCCGGTGCCGGTGCCGGTCGCGGTGCCGGTGCCGGTGCGGCGGCTCCGTCCCCGTCCCCTTTGTGCGGGATGCGGGAGGCGCCGTGGCTCCATCACTGCCAATCAAACTTGTTTTTCTCTCTCCGCCTGCACTGCCCGCGCCGCCCGCCGGGGGCGCTGCTGCCGCCGCCGCCCGCACAATGGGCCCCGGGTACCGGCCCCGGGCACCGCCGGGGGAGCCCCTGCCGCGGGCACTTCGCCCGTCCCCCCGAAACCCGGGCCGGAGGGGCTGGGCGAGAGGTGCCGCCGCGGCAGCATCTCCAGAGAATGCCACCGGCGGGGCCACCGGTACCGGCGGAGCCACGGTCTCTCCTGGCGGAGGGATGGAGCCCCGGCGGGGGATGCCCCTCTCCGCGCATCCCGGTGCTGCCCGGGCTCGTCCCGGCCGGCCGGGCTCCTCCAGACTCCTACCGCCTTTTTGTGCTCACGGCTGCCGAGCGGGAGCACCGGGGCACCGCTCCCCCGGCAGCACCGCCGGGTGGGGAGGGGGCGAGGTTGGTGGTGGGTACGGGGTCGAGGTGCCTGTTGGGGTTCAGGGGGCTTGGACACAGGAAAGCCCCCCCGGGGAGGGAGGCGATGCTCCCACCGCCCAGGAGTGCGAGTGGGTGCAGGGGAGGAGGAGGAGGAGGATTATGGCCGAGGAAGGTGAGCAAGGTGGCACTGGGAGCAATGCAAGAGGCTGGGGAGGCAGGAGTGCGGGAATGTGGCAGGTGGTCCCGGTAGGAGACACCCTGGGCTGAGCTGGTACCTTTGGGAGTGGGCAGGACAGGGACCGAGGTCGGGGGCTGCCCTGCACCTTCCTTCATCCTCTCCTTCCAAGCTGTGCCTGCCTAGTTGCTCTCTCCACCATCACCTGGACAAGCAGAGTGAGGAGAGCTGGCAGCACCAAAGGCTGAGCCATGGGCTGGTTGCATGGCTCCTTGCTGTGGACCACCTTTCCCCAGGGGGAGTGGAAGGGCCCCCAGCTCCTCTGCCCACCAGGAGGAGAAGACCAGTGGCTGTAGCCCCGTGGTTGTCCTCATGGCAGCTCATTTCCCCAGGCAGAGGGACTTTCAGGGGGCTTTCACACGTCACTTCTGGCTTGCACCTTCTCCTGTGGAACAGAGAAGCTGGTGCTCCTCATCTCTTTCCGTTTTAATTTGAGTTTTGGGGTTTTTTTGACCTCTTTGGCCAGAGGAAGTTGATGTTCCCAATGTCATCGAGTTAATCTCTTGACATCTGAGCGATGGTATGTTCATCAGAAGTGCAGGATGGTGGAAAATAGCCAGAGCTGCTTCCTGCACTGCCTCTGTGGGTGCAACTGCTCTGTGCTGCCACACAGCTCATCACTGCTCTGTCTCCCCCTCACCCCGGGGTGCTCTGCCACACACTCCATGGCTTTGGTGGTTTGCAGAAGTGCTCCTGGTTTTCTGCTGTGCCACCGTGGTTGCCGTGCCCCAGTCACCATCCTTTGGGGGACTGCGCTGGAGAGGCAGGTGGGAGGAACGTGACGATGGGATCAGCAGAGCCAGAATTTCCCAGGGGAGATTTCAGTTCAAGCCTGGGAGAGGAGATGCATCCTCTGCATCCCAGGGCGCTGCCTGGGCTCCCCTGGATGAGCAGGGGCTGTGACTTTCTGTGTGACAGGGGTTAGCACCTGCTGCACCCACAGCTCGGGGTGGGCAGGCTGCAGGTGCAGACCCTGCAGTTGGGTGGGAATTGTGGCAACACGGTCGTTGGGGCACAGCAGCCGCCCAGACACCTTTTCAACATCCCTGCCCTCGGCTCTCACCACCCTCTTGGGAGGGACTGGGGTGGGCACTGCTGGGGGTGTCTGGGCCCACCATGCTGAGTGGCCCATTTGTGTTCTCACCAGTGGGCACACCTGGTAACAGTTGTACTGTGTCCTGAGGGACTACTCCCACATTGTCTCCTTGGGCAACACGTGGGGAGCTCTTCTGTGTGCTCCCGACCACATGGAAGGTGCCAGGGCATCACTTGCCTCTTGGCTTGCCAGGGCAGGAGCCTCAGAGCCCCTCTGCTGTCTCCACAGCTCTCCCCCATCTTGCTGGGCAGGAGGGCTCAGTGCTGGCAGCGCAGGGTCCTGGTGGTAAGGCTGACAGGCTGCTCCATTCCAGAATGTCTTTCCATGTCATGTTTCCCCTGCTCCAGCCCTGCACCGCTGCAAGGAAACATCATTCATAGTTGGTCCTTTGCTTCAGCTCACCATGCAGTGCCTTCTCCCAGGCAGAGGCCAACCTGTGTGTCTTGTCCTCCTGCTAGCAGTGCCTGTGCTGAGCAGTGCTCTGCCTGGCTCCAGGAGTGTCCTTCTGGGAGCGCTGAGCCAGGAGAGGGGATTTCTGCCCCCTGCAAAGCCTGGGCTTGGCTGGGGTGGGCTGCTGCAGCAGGGGCTGCTCTGAGGAGGGCCAAGCAGAGCTTGTGTTTCCTGCAGGTAGTGAAGATGTCCAGCAGCGACCCTGAGTGCCCCCAGTTCCTCTTTGTGAAGGTGCTGGCGAGCCGGGGGCGGCTGGAGGCAGTGACCCAGCAGATGGGCTACCACCCACAGTACCTGGACAGCTTCCTCAAGATGCAGCACTACCTGATGCACATGGATGGCCCCCTGCCCTTTGACTGCCGGCACTACATTGCCATCATGGTGAGCCCCACTGGGAGCTGCCGGAGGGGAGGGAGGCTCTGCTCAGCCCTGTGGGGCTCCCCTCTCCCTCCAGCAGACAGCCTGTGTCACAGGCTTCTCATCAGAGGCTAAAATCGTGGTGTCCTGGAGGTTGGGTGAGAGGTGGGTGCGGGGTGCCGGGGTGCCTGTGTGGTGCAGGGATGCTGATGTGCTGCCCTTGCAGGCGGCTGCCCGGCACCAGTGCCGGTACCTGGTGAACCTGCACGTGCTGCAGTTCCTGCGGGCAGGGGGTGACCCCCAGTGGCTGCGCGGCCTCGAGTTCATCCCCCCCAAACTCCGCAACCTCAACGAGATCAACAAGATCCTGGCACACCGGCCCTGGCTCATCACCAAGGAACACATTGAGGTACTGGGGGAGGGCTGTCAGCCAGGGACCAGGGCAGCAGTGGGGGACAGCAGTGTCCCCAGAGGCTGCCAGCACCCTGCCCACCTGCCTGTGGCACGCTGCTGGTCTGTGTTCTGCAGAAGCTGCTGAAGATCAGCGAGTGGAGCTGGTCGCTGGCGGAGCTGGTGCACGCCGTCGTCCTCCTGGCACACTGCCATGCGCTCGCCAGCTTTGTCTTCGGCTGTGGCTGTGAGCAGGATGAGGGGCTGGGGGGCCGAGGCTCCCTGAAGCCCCTGTCACTCGGGAACCAGTGCTTCTGCGAAGCCACCGCCGGCAACAGCTGCAGCCAGGAGCTGCTGCGCATCAACCGCAAGCGGGTGAGCCCCCGAGGGTGGGTGTGCTGGGGAGAGGGGTGCAGCCACGACTGCTGCCCTCACCCCCAGCCTGTGTCTGTGCAGTCCCTGGACTCCTGCATGGAGCTGGATTCCCTCCGGGAGCGCATGCAGCGGATCCATGTGGAGACTGAGGGGAGGGAGGAGATGAGGTTGCTGCAGCT